CACTTTTTGGGATACTATAATCCCCTATAGAACTGAAAGTCTCCACTTTTTTGGGGGCTTATGAAGTCAGCAGCTAAGGGTTAAATGGATAATTGGAGGGTCTGCAGGCTAAACCTGGCCGGATCCTAAACCCTAAACCCTAAACCCTACACCCTACACCCTACACCCTAAACCCTAAACCCTAAACCCTAAACCCTAAACCCTAAACCCTAAACCCTAAACCCTAAACCCTAAACCCTAAACCCTAAACCCTAAACCCTAAACCCTAAACCTGGCCGGATCTTTTGAAAGGAGCTCCATCGCGCGTCCCTGGCACTCGAGGCTGGGGTCTAGGGTTTAGGGTTTAGGGTTTAGGGTTTAGGGTTTAGGGTTTAGTAGGAAGTTTCAGCTATGTGCGCTATTCGCCCAGTTTTGCAGAGCCCGCCTTGTTCCCTGGTCTGTGATGATAGGTGTCCCCAACACTCCCCCCAAAAGGGGAACCCCCCAAAAAAGCCTTACCACAGGTGCGACTTTGGCGGAGGGGGGGGGGGGGGGTTTGGGGGACCTTATGACGTTGGGTTAGGTGCTGGTCTTGTAAGTGGCGCTTGTTGCTTTGGGCAGGCGGCGCGCAATGACATAGTTGGCTGCCACACCGCCCTGGGTGGGGATGCATGCATCTAGGCTTGTGAAGACGCCGTGAGCATACTCTCGCTTAGAATGTCAGGTACACTTCAGAGTTTAGAGCGCTTCAATCCCTATGCCCTAAACCCCAAACCCTAAACCCTCAAGCCCCTGCAACTTGAAATTATGAAGGACAAATCCAAAACAGAAACTCCTCGAAACTTTCCCCGGACCTGAACCCATAATAATTCAATAAGCCCTAAACCCTAAACCCTAAACCCTAAACCCTAAACACATTCGGCCATCTACACCCCAGCAACCTCCACGTAGCTCGCGGACCGATGCTGCATCGACGGCTGCCCTAATGCTAAAGCCCCTCCGGAAGTACTGTCATACATTCCGGGCTTAGTTTGGGGTGCTCACATACCGAACTCTGCATACATTTTTCTGTGTATTAGAGTCCCCTAACCCTAAATATCCTGCACTGTATAGATTTTTTTGCATATAATGAGACCATCACCCCTCTGGCACGTGGAGCCCTGGTGAAGCAATGACAACTAAGTTGAACTGAGAACGGCGCTGAATTGTTCAGCAATTTCAATTGAGAGTGTCATTGGACTGCGAAATTCAGTAACTGGTTGCAACTTGTGAGGCAGGCACTCTCCTCTTACCCTGAACTTTGGAACCTCGCAGTGTTGTCAGTTGCTTTGTCGGAATTCACACTTCTTCAAATGCTGTTCACGGCCTGCTATTTGAAAGTAACAGCTTGACTACAATTACGATTCTACGATTCAAGTATACTTGAACGGTGACTCAACTAATGTTCATGAAACTAGGGTTTAGGGTTTAGGGTTTAGGGTTTAGGGTTTAGGGTTTAGGGTTTAGGGTTTAGGGTTTAGGGTAGCTAGATGTCATACTAATATTTACCTCGCTTGTGCTCGCCCTGTCTCCGGGTTTTGTGGGTCTGAGAGCTGCAGGGCTTAGGTCTGGTGTTTAGGGTTTAGGGTTTAGGGTTTAGGGTTTAGGGTTTAGGGTTTAGGGTTTAGGGTTTAGGGTTTAGGGTTTAGGGTTTAGGGTTTTGGATATTTAGGGTGCAGGCGTAGGAGTTGAGCCTTCCACCAGCTAAGGCTGGAATGCGCAGCTCTACTCTGTTTACCATGCGGCTGCCCATGGCTGCACGAGCCGCTGGCCACCGAAGACCAGTAGGGTGTAGGGCTTAAGGCTTTTAGGGTTTTTGGTTCAGGGGTTTAGGGGTTTGGGGGTTTAGGGGTTTAGGGTTTTATGGAGTTTTGGGTTTTGAAGGCTGAGGAATCAGAATGTACGGCTTAGGATGGAGGTTTGGACAGAACGCTTTTGGAATCTTCGCACCGCTCTGACCTGCAACAGGTGACAGTAGCTCAGCTTTCAGTATCTGATCCAGTCTATGCATTCCAGACGCTTGAGGGAGGGGATGTGGGGGAATTCGAGACCCCAAGCAGAAGCCTGCCAGCCTACAAGACCCACAGGGCCTTCTTCAAAACCCTAAACCCTAAACCGTAAACCCAAACCCTAAAGCCTAAAGCCTAAACCCTAAACCCTAAACCCTAAACCCTAAACCCTAAACCCTAAACCCTAAACCCTAAACCCTAAACCCTAAACCCTTTCAAAATGATCATCTAGGGGCCCAGGGTAGTGATCAACATCCAAAGCAACTTCTTGCTCGAGGCTGGGACAGGCGGCCCTTAGCAGCCTGGTTGTCCACTTGGCCCCTTGATCGACCTAGCTGTTTAGGGTTTAGGGTTTAGGGTTTAGGGTTTAGGGTTTAGGGTTTAGGGTTTAGGGTTTAGGGTTTAGGGTTTAGGGTTTAGGGTTAACGGTTATTACTTACTGTTGGTTGGCAGGGAATGCGGGAATTAAGGCCCTACATACACCCTTTAAGGGATGATACGGGGTACCTCATTCCCAACAGTAAGATTAGGGCTCTTGGGTTTGGAGTTTTGTTGGAGATTCATGTCGCTAGGGTTGAGAGCTTCAGGACTTTAGGGTTTGGGATTGCGGCCATGCACACCATGTTGGAGACAGTGCCCCGTAGGGGCAAGCTGCGGACACTCAGAAGCTGGGCAAGTTAGCAGCTTCAAACCCTAAACCCTAAACCCTAAACCCTAAACCCTAAACCCTAAGCCCTAAGCCCTAAGCCCTAAGCCCTAAGCCCTAAGCCCTAAGCCCTAAGCCCTAAACCCTAAACCCTAACCTGATCACTTTTCTGGACGGTTGAAATCCATACCCGGCACAGCTGTCCGGGAAAGTCCCCTAAGTAGCTTTGAGCCATGGCACCTCGTGTGTGTAAGAGTCCAAGGCCCGTTCTGTGGTGTCGGTTGCCTCAGAACCCCTCCTGCGGCAGACCCCAAACCCTAAACCCGAAACCCTGAACCCTAAACCCTAAATTGAGTTGTGGGGAAGGCGCCGTCGGAGGTCCCCGACATCTCAGGTCTGAGCACGTGTCCTTCCTCTCGGGCTGGGATCCGAAAGGACCTCGTGTCACAGCAGCCTCCTAAAATTTAAGTTTTAGGGTTTAGGGCTTCGGATTTAGGGTGTAGGAGTTCAGAGTTAAAAATTAAGGTTTTTTGGGGTTTGGGGTTTAGGGTTTGGGGCTTGGGTTTAGGGTTTCCAGGGTCAGGAGTGGAGAGTTTACGGTCATGGAGGCAGGGGAGAGCGATAGAGTTGAGGTGTTGGAGTGAGCTCAGGTGGTTTATACGTTATGGGCTAGCTCTTCGAGCCTCGGTTCACTGCTGCTTCAAGAAAGACCCGAGCTCAAAGAGCCGAGGAGCCCAGTGAGAGCCCCGAGCTCATCTCTGCAACGCTTTAGGTGTTAGGGTTTAGGGTTTAGGGTTTAGGGGGGAACCGTTTCCTGAGAGATCTCAGTCTCAGCTTGCTGCTGCCATTGTGCAGGACCTTTAGATGCTGCTCCTTTCCGCTTGGCTTCTGTCAGCGCAGCATGGCATATGTTCAGATCCGAACCCCAATCTGGGTGGTGGCGTTGCAGCATGGAGGGTTAGGGTTTAGGGTTTAGGGTTTAGGGTGAAGGGTTTAGGGCTTTAGGGTCTGGGGTTTAGGGTTTAGGGTGAAGGGCTAAGAGTTGGGGTTGCTTGGGAGGGCATTTTCGGTTCAAGTCTCTTTCTTGGTAGCCCTGCGGTACCCCTTTTCCTTTTTTTTGGGGGGTCAAGGTTCCCTTATAAAGTAACCAGCCCAAAACGGGTGCCCTTGTTATAATATGGTTGCTGGGCTACCAAGCTTTGCTAGCACAGGTCTCATAGGCTACTGTGCTGGGGCATCTCGCTGGCTGCAGATTCGAATGACATGCCCTAAGCTACGTACTGCCGGAGCAGCCGTCCCTAAACCCTAAACTTGGGTTCGGCCGGTCCACACTAACAGTCAAATAACGCCGTGGCCTTATAACACACAGGCCAAAAATAGCACCAGGAATCCCAGTCAATTTTAGCATTTACCGGGTGCTTATTTTTGTGGGTCTGCTGGTGGTGACTGTTAGTCACATAGCAGCAGAAATAGCACCAGAAATAGCACCAGAAATAGCACAAACAATAGCACAAAAAATAGCACCAGAAATAGCGCCAGGAATAGCACAAAAAATAGCACCAGAAATAGCACAAACAATAGCACCAGAAATAGCACCAGGAATCCCAGTCAATTTTATCAGCTTAGCATTTACCGGGTGCTGTTTTTTGTGGGTCTGCTGATGGTGATTGTTAGTCACATAGCACCAGCAACAGCACCAGAAATAGCACCAGAAATAGCACAAACAATAGCACAAAAAATAGCACCAGAAATAGCACAAACAATAGCACAAAAAATAGCACCAGAAATAGCACCAGGAATAGCACAAAAAAATGCACCAGAAATAGCACCAGAAATAGCACCAGGAATTGCACCAGGAATAGCAGGAATCTCAGTCATTTTTTTGGCATTTACCGGGTGCTTTTATTTGTGGGCCTGCTGGTGGTGACTGTTAGTGTGGACCGGCCGAACCCAACCCTAAACCCTAAACCCTATAAGCCCTAAACCCACGAAGCCTCTGAGGACATCTCTGCCGTTTTATCCTCGTACTACAACGAGGGAGGACATCACCACTTGCGCATAGAGGAAGCCAATCCAGAGCAGGCTGGTACCCCCCTTAACCCTAAACCCTGAAGCCTAAACCCTAAGCCCTAGGCCACGACTGCATTTAGATTTCATACAGGGGCCTTGAGCATTATCAATAGCATAAACAGTTACCCAAAATCCCATTCAATCTGACCCAGTGGCCTGCCATACTTGAGAGAACCAGCCTTGGTTACATCCCTCACATGAATTAGCGTTGGCATACCCGAAGAACCCCCAAGAAGCAGTCCAATTGCAGCTACCCAATGCACCCATCCCACATTAGTCATGCCACATTCTCTTGGCTTGGAGGGTTGAGACTTGGCTCTCAGGGTTCAAAGTTGGAGGGACTACTCAGGCGTAGAGGCGCCAAGGTTGAAAATTTAGAATTGAGGGTTCATGGTCTTGGCCGCTAGGAAAGCCTGAAAACCCTGAGGCCCGAACCACAACCCTCTGAAACTCGTCGGGAAGCCTTGAAGCCCCTTTGAGTCCTCGATCTGCAGGCTCTCGAAAGCGACCTGCAAGATGAGTTGATATCCCGCTCCGCAGGCGCGGGAGGGGGGGTGCGGTGTTCGAAAGTAGCACAGGTTCAGGATCTAGGTGTTCTTATGTGTTTCTATTGTACAAGGGCCTCTGTCAGGGCGAAACTGATTTCAAACGATTATCGCAACTTAGCACAGCCACCAAGAGCACACCCAAACCCAGAGCCCTGAAAAGCCAGCAAAACCCTTCTAAGCCGGCAGCGCCCCTAAACCCCTCGGGGCAAGAATGCGAGGCTCCCTGGCGGCTGAGTCCTCAATCTCCGAGCGCGAGCCGGAGCTTCCTCAATTGCGAGTGGACCCTGGGACAGGGCCCCCAATTCTGGGGGCATTAGGGGCATTAGGGGGGGGCTTAGGGGGTTTATAAAAGCTGTCGTTGGGTTGTAGGGTTTTACTTGGCTGTTCGTGCTTTCGGCGCTTGAGGGCTTCTAAGATGTTTAGGGGTCTTGTCGGGTTTAGATGCCCTATGGGGCTTAATGGTCAGCATCAAAAATTGCCGACCCCTTTCTGGATACCCGGAGATAGAAGGGCCTGCATCTTCGTAGGAAACCCAGGCCAGACCTATCTAGGACCTGCCAGGTTTTCGGTTTTTTCGCTTGCGTTTTGGTATGTTTTGAGGGTTTATTTAGGGTTTAGGGGGGAACCCAAGCAAGACCTACCGTAGACTTCGAGCGCTTCGAGCGCTTGGCGTGTTTAAGGTGTGGGGTTTCGGGTCTAGGGTTTAGTTCAATGTTACTGGGCTGGCCAAATGCAACCATAGATGGGCAGTTTTTAGGGTTGTGTCGTGTTTTTGGTTTTGGGCTTTTTAGGTTTTGGGGTTCGGGACAGGACAGGGCGGAGAAGCGCAACGCCCAATTGCCGAGAAGAAGGTCAAGAAAGATAGGGGTTGCGTTGGGTGCGAACAGGATGCCAGCCATAAACCCTAAACCATAATAACACTTCAGGAGTTGGGGGTTTCGGGAAGCTTTCCCAGGATTTCCCTAGTTTTTTTGCGCAGGATCTTCCTCCTAACCCTGAACCCCCAACGCCTTGGAACCCACATGCCTAGGAGGGCCTACGACTGGTGGCTGCGCAGTGGTCGAACGGAGGAATCGAGAGGGACAGCGATGAGGTGGAATATGCGCCCCGTCTGCATCTCGCACCTAGCTCTAAACATCTCTAAACTCTAAACCCTAAACCCTGTTCGGGGTCTGCAATGGGTCTTCTGGGCGCGGGGGGGGCGGGGGGTGAGGGAGGGTTGGAACACTGAAGATTCCCTACTTCCACCGTTTGCCTGCTGCAGTTGTGGCTTCTTTGGCGTCCCCCTCCTCTGTGACTTTGAGGGCTTAGGGGGGTTTTGGGGGGCTGAGGTTGGGATGTACCCCCTTATACTAACAGTCCTTGATAGGGATTATAGTACCCCCCCCCCCCCCCCCCTCATTGTAATACCTTTTAAGGACTGTGGAAACAGCATACACGGCAAGGTTTAAGGACTGTTCGTTTAGGGGGAATATCCCAAGGTTGAGGGCTTACGGGTGTGAGTAGCTTGCTTTGGGGTTGCAGTTGTCTACAGGATTCTTCAGGGTACTCGCACACGGTTGCGATTGAAACGGCCGCTTCCCGTAGCTCTACCGTTCCGATTGGCATTTGCTTTAAGACTTTCCGAACGCGCGTCCTAAAACCGAAAAACCTCCAACACCCCAACACCCATAGCTCCTAGACCTTTTGCCCACAGATTGCCAGGAGATGGAGCTCCCTCCGATGGCACGGGCCCCACCTTCTGGCTTTTTTCGGGTGTCGGGGGGGAGGGGGGTGGGCTCATGGTTGTTGTGACAGTGTTGGTTCTGATCTAGGCTGGAGGCCTCTTGGGTCCCTGTTCCAGTCAGGACACTCCTACGGAAGACCAAATCAGGACGTGACTTCAGGGCTCATGTGCGGGGAATGTTCGCCCTGATTGAGGCCGTTCCCCCAAATTATGCCCTTACAAAGCTCCCCGAAACCCCAAACTCCAGACATCCCTCTACCCTAAACCCTAATGTCTTCCTAAGTAAGGGCTGTCCCTACACCCCAAACCCTAAACCCTAAACGTCACTCCATGGGACATCCAGGCATGGGAGCACCGGGAGATTGCACCAGGGAGATCCTAGAAAAGCCTTCCTGAATCCTAAACCCTAAACCCCTAAGCCCCTGAACTCCGAAACCCCTAAACTCCTAAACCTCCAAACCCGCGGACCTCCCTAAACCCCTAACTTGCTAGGGTTTAGGGGGTTTGGGCCTTAAAGATGCCTAGTGATCAGGACTTCGGGATGTGTAGGGTTTAAGGGGTGCACTTTCAACACCCAGACTCCACGTGACACTCCGCAAAGTTTGGGGGGAGGAGGCGGTGGCAAGTTGCTGGCAGATGCTTTGGGTGGCCGCCCTGGTAAAACCTGGAGTCAAGAAAGGGGCTTGTGATTCTCCCGACGCCCCCCTAAACCCGAAATCCTAAACCCTAAACCCTAAACCCTAAACCCTAAACCCTAAACCCTAAACCCTAAACCCTAAACCCTAAACCCCACTCCTTGCTGCCATAGCCTGGGCCCTTCACAGGTCATCCGCCTCTCCCGTGGCATGTCGCCCTCGCATGGCCGCTGGTACTTGCGCCCCGGCCAAAGGCTTTTGCCCAAAGCTTCGGGCTCCAAAAAACAGAGGCCTTGGGGTAGTTTCGTAGGGTGTTTAGGGTTTGGGGATTAGGGTTTAGGGTTTAGGGTTTAGGGGTACCCTACTTGCCCTAAACTCTAAACCAGGATTGGGGCTCAGGGGCCCGGCTCGGGGTCTTGATTGGTTTAGGGCTTCGGCACCCAGGGGGTAGGGGGAAGCCTGTGCCTGAGACGACGTGCACGGACCACTGCATCTGTAAGATTAAACGCGGTTTAGGGTTTAGGGTTTAGGGTTTAGGGTTTAGGGTTTAGGGTTTAGGGTTTAGGGTTTAGGGTTTAGTCAGTTCCTTGCCGTCAGGTGCCCCCTCATCATTGCCTACGCGGACGCCTTTGGCACAGACCTCGCAGATCCACCCGCACCTCGGTCGGAAACGTGCCAAAATCAAAGCTTCCCATTGAGGGGGGTGGGAGGGGAGGGGGGGGGGGGGGGGGGGGAGCGTGGCTGAGGCGGGCCCTCAGGGCTTCTTTCGCATTAAGGTTCTGGATTTAGGCTGGGCTCGTGTTCTACACAAACCCTAAACGCCCACAAGTGAATGTCCCGACGTTCCTATATGCGCGCGCCCTACACCATGAACCATGAATTCTTCCTCCGTTTGTGCTGAACTTTCTAAGATCCTGGGGAGGAGGACGGGAGGGAGGGGGGTTTCGGGTATAGGGTTTAGGGCTTAGGGTTTAGGGTTTAGGGTTTACGGCCGCGCAGTGAAGATTCTATGTGTTCAATTTTGGCAAGAGCCCCCAAAGCCCTTAATCAGAAGCCCTTTGTTTTTCCACCTCAATGTCGGGATGGTTCCATTTTGAATCCTGCTGCTCTGACGAGCACGTGTTGCCCCAACCTTCCATGCATGTCTGCTCCATTGTCATATCACCCCGTGTGAGTGCAATTGAGGTGGCCCACGTCTACCTCAGGCAGGGCGTTCGTGGCATTCTGGAAGCGGGGCTTTGTGCACCTTGATCGCCTACTTGTACTAGTAGGGTTATCACTACCCTAAACAGAGTTATAATCAGTCGTAACCAAGTCTGCCCTCCTTGTGAGCCCAGTTCTAACTACCCAATGAGCCTCTAAGTCGAGCCCCACATGACAATTCCAGCAGAGACCTATGCAAGGAAGCCGGGGTAGAGATCTGGGGTGCTGACCTGGGCAGGACATCGATGAACCCTGCTTTGTGCGCGCTGCATGGCGTCCGACTCGTGAGCTTCGCCTAGCCTTAGAAGAACCCTCGCAGAGCCCAATGGTGCGATGTAGGGTTCAGGGCTTAGGGTTTAGGGTTTAGGGTTTAGGGTTCAGGGAAAAGACATCCAAGAGACCCCGGGATTCGACAACTCCATCAGAACTCAAATGCCGCTCTTCACGACCCTGCCGCGAACGAACGCGGCGGCCGGGGCGAAACAGCCCCCACCCCGCACGGAAGCCAGCTTCTGGATACATCAATTTAGGGTTTAGGGTTTAAAGAGCCTCATATACAAGGGCTCAGAGGTTTAGGGCAGCTTATATCTCCTGGTCACGAGGATGCAAAGTTCAGAGCCCTTCCGTGCGGGACCCCAAAGGTCGCTGATCGGTCCGTGTGCTTCGCCTGCATGCTTCAATCGGGGACGAGAGGCTTCGAGCCCTGTGAGCCTGAACTCTAAACCCTAAACCCTAAGCCCTAAACCCTAAACCTTAAACCCTAAACCCCAAAACCTTAAACCTTAAACCCTAAACCCTAAACCCTAAACCCTAGCTGTCCTGATTGAGGCATGCCCAGGTGTTCCTTCATGGTGTGAGACAGGTGGCTACCAAGAGTCCCCCACCCTGAGTCCAATAAGCCCTAAGAGTCTGCAATGTAAGGGAGGGTTATCCTGTTTAGGGTTTAGGGTTTAGGGGTTGAGGGGTTTAGGGGTTTAGAGGTTTAGGGTTTAAGGTTTAGGGTTTAAGGTTTAGGGTTTAGGGTTTAAGGGAGGGTTGTCCTGAACTATGGCCTTGTTGTCGGTCTCTATCTCAACTCTCTCCCTGTAGTTTATAGGGCCAGGAAAACGCACCCCCAAGTCGAGTAAAAACCTAGCGCCTGCAAAGTACACCAAGAGCGAAGTTCCCTGGCCCCCAAAACCCTAAAGCCTGTTGGGGTGTGTCCTTCGACCCCTTTCAGGGTTAGGGCTTCCCTGTTGCGAAAGCTGCCATCGGAATCCTCCGCCTCGCTCCCCCGCTTCTATTGGAGCCGGGGTCCTAAGCTCTAAACCCTAAACTTCAAACTTTAGGGTTTAGGGTTTAGGGTTTAGGGTTTAGGGTTTAGGGTTGCTTCTTTTCAAAGTGGGGGAGCTTGGAGCCTCCCCTCAGACCATGGCTGTGTAGAGGGGAACACCACCACTGGTTGGGCCGTTTTGGCTGCGAACACAAGTTTAGGGTTGAGGGTTTAGGGTTTAGGGTTTAGGGTTTAGGGTTTAGGGTTCAGGGTTCTATAACAAGAGCTTTGTGACCAGAAGCTACCCAGCTGCAACTGTCCTCTGCAGCCACTGACCCACCTCTGGTGCGAAAGCGCGAAGCTGCGAGGATGCCAGCTGACCGTGATGGAGCAAATGGCAGTGATTGCAGGGTAGGGTTTAGGGGCCATTGGATGAACAAGTTCTGCCACGCCAATGTTTGCGTACCGTCAAACCGTCTCCCCAGGGTACTTCGGTATGAAAACGTACGTATACGTATATCTTTTTGAACTTGATTGTGCACCACTTCGGCATGAGCCTTTTTGCTTTCAAGCTACTCTTTGCTCCCGGTTTCCTGTACCCCATGACAGGGGTCACCTGGCCTAGGTACCTATGCAACTCCACACCTGCCCTAAGCTCAGGGCACTGGCCCAGACATTGTTCAATTCGGGCCGCGGGAAACATATGGGGGGGTTTCCGAAATTAGGGGTACCAATACTTATTGGGGTCCTTATTGTAAGGGAATCTTACTACTTGTGGTCTATTTTAGGGGTGCCCTATTTTCGTAAACCTCCATGTACCGCACATAGTCCCCATCTCCAGTCCATCAGGTTCCTTCTTGAGGCCACACACACCCTGAGCCGAGCATCCGCAGCCTTCAGCCTCAAGCCCTTAAGCCCACACCCTGGCAACCCCAGTGCCCGACACGCGCAAGGAAGAAGGAGCTAGAATTGAGACCCCCCACAAAGGGCAAGCAGCTAAGATCTAACCCGTGAATTCCGAGAACAAAAGCCTCATTTGGTGAGCAGCTCATGGAGCAGAATGCCGTAACCAATGAAGAGGAGCTGGTGTGGCAAGGCGTGTCGTTGCAGCCGGCCCTTTGAAGTTAGAGGTTTTGGCTTTGAGCGCCCTAAGCCCTAAGCCCTGAACCCGTAACTAAACCTTCGGTGCAGGTGGACTTCTCCTGGTGCTGCTCAGGGGACCACCTGGTTGCGGGACAGGAAGGGGGCGACTCGTGGAACCTGCGGTTTAGGGCCTCGGCTCTCCAAACTACCCCCTGGTTCATTTTTTGTGAATGTGGGAATGAGGTACCCTACAGAATCCCTTAAAGGGTTATATTATATCGGGGATATAGGGTACCTCATTCCGTCATTCCCTATGAACCAGCACACGGAGATCCCCTTTAAAGGGCCGGAATGCCTCATACAGAAACCTAAGTTTTCGCCAACCTTGTCCCCATCTAATGCCCGAAAAATAGATGGTGGGGAACTGCCCAAGATTAGCAATACCCAACCTAACTAAACAGGCCATGTGACCTCTCTATTCGTTGCTTCTGATCGTGGAGCGGATCATGTGAGCAGGGTGCCTGTTGCTGCAGTCCGCATGGCGCCCTGCGAATGAAAGATTGGCTTCTCTTGTTGCCATAAACCCTAAACCCTAAACCCCAAATTACCGAATTCTCTCCAACAAAGACCCTTTCGCCCCAGAATCTGGGACCTAGGGTATCAAACCTTTTGCGCCTCGAACGCCAGGAAGTCTACCTTTGCGCGGGCGTGGCTCGCGCGGGCGCTGAAGACCAGCTCGTCTGAGCTGGAGGATGGAGGTTTAGGGTTTAGGGTTCAGGGTTCGGGGTTTAGGGTTTCGGGTTTAGCGTTTCGGGTTTAGGGTTTAGGGTTTAGGGCCTTGGGGTTAGGGTGGAGGGCCTTGGGGCTTAGCGGTTGGTGACGGCTGAAAGCCTCGTAGAGCCTCCACACCCAAATCACAAAGCGCGTCAGGGCCTGAAGGTCTTAGGGCTGTTTAGGGCTTAGGGCTTAGGGCTTAGGGTTTAGGGTTTTGGGTTTAGGGTCTCAGTGGCACATGAGCTTAAAGCCTTCTTTGCCAGAGAACATGCTCATCCGAATTATGAAATCTTCTCAAGCTCCCAAACACCTCGTCTCCTAGGCCTGTCTACCCGAAGCTCAAAACCTTCAACCCTTATACCCCAAATCCGACGGCTTTATTGGAGTCTAAGGGCGAAGCAGCCCAACCCATACCCTGAAATTTCCAAAACGCTGGAGCCTGAAACCTTGAACCGCAACCCGTGCACCCTCAAAGCCACTAGGAGCGGCCGACCTGGCGCCAAGCGCACGTAGCACGTCTGCAAGCGGAACATGAGATGGTCGGGTTTGGGGTTGAGAGTTTAAGGCTTAGGGTAAAGTTTAAGTAGGCTCTATTTGGAGATTCATGGGTAGCTACAGCTTGGGTTACAAGTAGGAGGGATATCGCTGTTTCTCTGGGCTCCTTCGAACCCTACGCATAACAGTGTCCTTGCGAACCTCACAGGCAAAGCAGGACACGCAAATTGATGACACCTCTGTGCGAAGCGCGAAACTAAATTTTGCCTAACTTTCTTGCGGCTTCGGGTTTAGGGTTTAGGGTTAGGTTTAGGGTTTAGGGTTTAGGGTTTAGGGTTTAGGGTTTAGGGTTTAGGGTTTAGGGTTTAGGGTTTAGGGTTTAGGGTTCAGGGTTCAGGGTTTAGGGTTCAGGGTTCAGGGTTCAGGGTTCAGGATTCATTATGGGTTTTTTTTTGGGCCAAGCTCCAAGGTCTGCAGCTCGGACGACTTCTGCACACATCTGGAGGACTGGAGCCCCGAGCCCGAAGCCCCGGATTTCTCTAGGGGTCAGGGTTTAGGGTTTAGCGTTTAGGGTTTAGGGTTTAGGGTTTAGGGTTTAGGGTTTAGGGCTCGGCATGTTAATGCCACAAAGGGGCTAGGTTCCCTAGAGACAACCCGGCTAAGGTAGGTATAGGTGTAGAGGAGCCTGTGTGAGGTTCCTCTGGGCCTGGGACAAAGAAATGCAGTTTCAAGAACTAAAGCCAACATCCCAAGACGAACAGATGAAAACCTCCGCAACCTCTACGCCCTTCGACCCCCTGTGCCCTCGTAGGATGGCGAAGAGGTCTACGACTTCGATTCGCTGTCTGCGAGGTTGGGTTTTGGGTTTTGGGTTTTGGGTTTTGGGTTTCGGGTTTCGGGTTTAGGGTTTAGGGTGAAGGAGGGCTCCAAGGCTCGTCTTGGGGATCCTTGCAAGGGAGTTTAGGGGGATCCCTGAGCACTAGTGTTCTGGCCTGAGGACCGCACACACCCTGAACGAACAGCGGGTGGACATTGCCATGCGCTTGGGAACTACCCCCATCATTGTGGACAACACGAACCTTAGGGATACTTGGGAATAATTTTTAAGTAGTATGATTCCTAAGAAACAGCTTGAAGAAATTATTCTTTTTGCTAGAATTCCGAGTGCAGTTCAGGAACATGGAGCTTTGGGAGATGCAGCGCTACGTCGCCTTGGCGAAGAGCTACACCTACGCGGTACGGGTGGTCGAGCCTGGCACGTTCAATCCTGACTGGAGGCTTAGGGCTACTTGCGAATCTTTTCTAACTTTTGGGGCACGAGAAATCCGAAGAAACAGCTGAAATTGTGCTTTTTCTAGGGTTCTTCAGTTGAGGAGGGACGTTGTCCATCTGATGCATCGCAACGCACAGCGAGCCCAAGCGGGCAAGAACGTGCCAGTGGAGGCCCTCGTGTCCTAAGCCTTGAACCCTCAAACCCTAAACCCTAAACCCTAAACCCTAAACCCCCTCTGCAGCAAAATGGCCCAAGAAAGCCAAAGGAAGGCAGTAACCAAAGGAACCAGCCGTCCTGGAACTTTTAAGGCTCAGGGTTTGGGGGTTAGGGTTTCAGGGGTCAGGGTTTAGGGTTTAGGCTTTCGGGTTTAGGGTTATAGGGTTTGGGGAAACCCTAGACCCTAGACCCTAGACCCTAGACCCTAAACCCTAAACCCTAAACCCGCAGGTGCTCAAGAAGATGTTGGGCCGGTACCAGCCCTTCCTAGGGGACCTGGGCGCCATCTCCGGTGCCTCGCGCCCGGACCTTGCGGACAGCGATGGTTGGAGTCAGGATCTCCGAATCGACCCTTGGCCGGAAATCTCCAAAAAAGGAGGCTTCGGGTTTTGGGGATTGGGAATAGGGTTTGGGCTTTGGGGTTTAGGGTTCTCCCCCGGGTCTATCTTGTGGCCTCCCCGGGGCCTATGTTGGGGTCTCCCGGCGTACGTAAATTGAGCATTTGGCTTCAGAGGTGTTTTGGATGAATTTACGTACGCTCTGCTTGTCAGCTGTTTAGACAAGGAACTTGAAAATTCAGAGTGAGACCACATACCATTTCTATTTATTTTGTCTTGAGGGTTTAGGGTTTAGGCTTTAGGGTTTAGGCTTTAGGTTTTAGGGTTTCGGGTTTAGGGGGCCGAAGGGTTGTTGAAAGTTTTTATCTCTTGCGGGTTCTGGTCCAAACTTCAAGGACCCTACAGATGGCTGCAGCTACACGCTCCAAGACTTTGTGGAGGAGTACGGCGGAACAGAGGAGGATCCACCGAGGTGTGGGTTTAGGGTTTAGGGTTTAGGGTTTAGGGTTTAGGGTTTTGGGTTTTGGGTTTTGGGTTTTGGGTTTTGGGTTTTGGGTTTTGGGGCTTAGGGTTTCGGGTTTCGGGTTTAGGGTTTAGGGTTTAGGGTTTAGGGTTTAGGGTTTAGGGTTTAGGGTTTAGGGTTTAGTGTCGTGGGTCGAAGGTTGAGGTTTAGGAGGCTTCAAGCTTGGTGGTTAAGAATCCATGGAGGCCAAACCCCCCAAACCACCAACATCTTAAAGCCCTACGCCCTAAAGCCCTCGACATCCCCCAAACCCTAAACCCCAAACCCCTAAACCCTAAACCCCAAACCCTAAACCCCAAACCCTAGACCCTAAACCCCCCGAAACCCCGAAGCCCCCAAGCTCCGCGCCTTGGGCCCTGTCAGGGAGTGGTTCGAAGCCATGCGCGCGCCGAGGGTGTCAAAGACGAAAGCCAAGGCTCATGTTTTTAGGGCTGCATCCCTAAACCCTAAACCCTAAACCCTAAACCCTAAACCCTAAACCCTGCAACCTTGCAAACCCTAAACCCTAAACCGCGCGGGTAAGGCTTTATCGGGTTTTGGCTTTAGGGGGGTTTTTTGTTGGGGCTCAGAGGGTTTTTGGGCGGAGAGAATGTCAGGTTCAGGCTCGAGGGGCTTAGGCTTTCAGGAAGTTTTCAGCCTGTGTGGCTCCACTGAGCCTTCAGGAGCTTGATGATCCCCCAAACTTTCAGTGGCTCTTAGGGTTTAGGGTTTAGGGTTTAGGGTTTAGGGTTTAGGGTTTAGGGTTTAGGGTTTAGGTTTTAAGATCAGACGAGCCGTGAGACCCCCCGAGAGTGGGGCTCTTGGCGGGCATTAGCCTAGGGCCTTTAGAGGGATCTAAACGAATTTGAGTGTCATTCCGAGACTTGAAAGTTTAGGGTTTAGGGTTTAGGGTTTAGGGTGTAGGTTTTAGGGTTTAGGGTTTACATAGGGTTTAGGGTAAACTACAAATCGCCCCGCAAGACTCTCTGGGAGGCCCACGCAGCCAGCAGCCGCGAGTCCTCAGACAGCTCGGAGAGCACCTGCAGCAGGAGCTCGAAGCGGAGGAGGCCCCCTTCCGATGTCGGAAGCTCTCTTCAGAACCGGGGTTTAGGGTTTCGGGCTTAGGGTTTAGGGTTTAGGGTTTAGGGTTTGGGGTTTAGGGTTTAGGGTTTAGCCCCAAAACCCCCAAACCGCTTTTGGAGGGGAGTTCAGTCACTTATTCCCGGGGATGTGAGGCTTCAGGTCGTCTCGGGATGCCACGAGCTGTCAAGGCATTTAAGTTGGGGTTTAGGGTTTAGGGTTTAGGGTTTAGGGTTTAGGGTTTAGGGTTTAGGGTTTAGGGTTTAGGGTTTAGGGTTTAGGGTTTAGGGTTTAGGGTTTAGGGTTTAGGGTTTAGGGTTTAGGGGCACCTTATTGGGCTCACTGGATTTGGGGCATTGGGGTTTTTTCAAGATCTTGCACCTCTCGGAATCCCTGCCGGTTGTTTTGTCAAAGCGAAGTGCTACCCTAAACCCTGAACCCTGAACCCTGAACCCTGAACCCTGAACCCTGAACCCTTGTTGTTCCTGACCCAAACCCACGGCCTCATTGCTGAAGAGCACCGTCAGACCCAACCAGGATTCAAGGCGCCTCGTCCCGCAAGCTGGCTCTCGAAGCTCTCTGGCGCGATCCGGATCTGACCTCATGGGCAGGGAGGCGTAGGAATCTTAGTAGCTGAGTGAGTATACACTTTTGGGATACCATAATCCCCGAAACCCTAAACCCTAAACCCTAAACCCTAAACCCTAAACCCTAAACCCTAAACCCTAAACCCTAAACCCTAAACCCTAAACCCTAAACCTAAAACAAGGGGCTTATGAACTCAGCAACTGAGGAAGATGGAGGAACACTACCAACTCGAGGTCCAGGAGCGGGACGCTTCAGCACCTCTTCGTCTCGAAAAATGGTTAACCCCCCCCCCCCCCCCCCCGAAAGATGTAGGGTTTAGGGTTAGGGTTTAGGGTTTAGGGTTTGGGGTTTGGGGTTTGGGGTTTGGGGTTCGGGGTTTGGGGTTTAGGGTTTAGGGCTTAGGGTTCAGCAGCTCCTGATCGAGCAATCTCTGGCAAAGCCGCCCGCTGTGTCGACTCGAGAAAAAACCCCACGCACCCAGAGAGTCCCAAAACATTGAGAAATGTAAAGGTTACATTTTTCATCAGCAAGCCCGGAGCCCCAACCTCACTCTGTCATGGAGCGGTCTTAGGGTTTAGGGTTTTGGTTTTGGGTTTTGGGTTTTGGGTTTTGGGTTTAGGGTTTAGGGTTTAGGGTTTAGGGTTTAGGGTTTAGGGTTTAGGGTTTAGGGTTTAGGGTTTAGGGTTTAGGGTTTAGGGCTAGGGTTCCACCCACCAGGAGGATGAGATGCTGTGCATCGTGTCCGCCAACCACAGCCATCCACTCTGGTCTGGCGAGGCTGGGGTGTCCTACCAATGTGGGAAACCCTAAACCCTAAACCCTAAACCCTAAACCCTAAACCCTAAACCCTAAACCCTAAACCCTAAACCCTAAACCCTAAACCCTAAACCCTGGGGCTTCCGCTGAAGTTGTGGGGTTTAGGGGTTTAAGGGTTTGGGGGTTTGGGGGGTTTAGGGTTGAGGGTGTAGGAAACCCGCCCCTCCCCCCAATATTTTTCACTCGCCACATGGGCTGCAACGACCCCAAAGACCGAATCAGAGAGCCACCCTCTTGGGAGTGCTTACGGCCTGTAAACGCCCCGACATCGTTGAACGGAGCTTCGGGTTCAGGTGTTTGTTTTCAGGCATTTAGGGTTTGACGGATACCTTGCAGAATCGAAAACAGGCCCCAAAGAGTTGTCACGGCTTCACAGCCGAAGTCTCCCTAGGGTTTAGGGTTTAGGGTTTAGGGTTTAGGGTTTAGGGTTTAAAGGGTTTAGATTGCCTTCTCAAGGACAGAAGGCTTTGGCCGATTCTCATAGGTAGGCCCTGGGGTATGTTGCCGTGTTTTCGCTTCTTAGGCTTAGGTTTAAGAGGATCATATATATATATATATATAGGAAGATTTCTCAGAGGTTTCTAAGGGGGCCATCTTAGTCCCAGGATCATCAGCTTCTCCGCGAGAACCGTGGGACCGTCTATGAGAAATCCTCTGGAAGAGCCGTCTGCCTGCCGTTCTACAAGTGTCCTGGCTTGTCTTCGACCTTCATGACTCATCGTGCGAGTCTAGGATTTAGGTTGAAGGGTGTCTTCTTATCATTAGGATGACATTCAGAAAAGTGCTTGAACCGCTTCCCAACTAAAACCCCTAAACCCTAAGCCCTAAACCTTAAACCCTAAACCCTAAACCCTAAACCCTAATCCCGAAACCCTAGAAAAACCCATAAGCCCCTACGATGCTGGACCGGCTGAGGTTCTGGAATCGAGGAGAGCGTCTGACAGAGGAGATCGACTGGAGCGATGCCATCGCCGAGGACTTACCACTGAATGGGGGGCTGTTGAACCTTGTTGACTTCAAATTCAGGCTTGTCCGGGTTCAGGGTTTTTACTGCAGGGTCGTTCGGGTTTGAAGGGTTTATGGTGTTTATAAGGGTTTTTGGGTTTAAGGTTTTTGGAAGGTTTATAGGGCCAGCTTGTGGGCTAGAATGCCCAGTACCGCCAGAACCCCTTTTATGAGGAATTTGCCTTCAGAATCAACGCAAACGCGTTGTCGACATTTGGATCCCAATCATCACAGGATTGCTCTTAACAGAACCCAGATCACCATCTGGGGCATCGCAGCTGTTGCTTAGGTGTGCGCAGCACGTGTGCCAACCTTGGCGTCAATCTTACAGAGCCCATGAGCTGTTCTGTGGGGTTGAAGCCCCTCTCCATGAAAAGCCTGAATTCACACCTCCGCGCCCCCTCCTCCACATTTTTGCAAAAAAACGAAGCCAAATCCTACCACCCGACATCAAAACGATCTCAAGCCCGGGTCTACATGGGCATTTCCCAGAATAGGGGGGGGGGGGGGGTGTACCCCTAAACCCAAAACTTAAACCCGAAACCCCAACAATAATAGAACCTCCTTCAAGGGACCCCCAAAAAGGGCACCCCCTTGTTTTGGAACCCCCAAATCAGGAGAAAATCGATGGGAACCTCATGAAGCTCTTCTTCTTCGAAGGCAGAGTGGTTTAGGGTTTAGGGTTTAGGGTTTAGGGTTTAGGGTTTAGGGTTTAGGGTTGCGCTGTGGGAGGGTTTCGTATTTCGATTGACTGTCTTAGATTATTTGCCCTTTGTCCATAATGAGATGTGCCCCTTTTGGGGGTTCCTATAATGATTATAGTATTTGGGGGTACGTGAGGCTTCCCTATATTGGGGAAATGCCCATTTTCCGACAAATTAGATTTATGTTCCGAGCAGGTTTTGGGCTCTAGGGCTTGCTGGCATGGTTTAGGGTTTAGGGTTTAGGGTTTAGGGTTTAGGGTTTAGGGTTTAGGGTTTAGGGTTTAGGGTTTAGGGTTTAGGGTTTAGGGTTTAGGGTTTAGGGTTTAGGGTTTAGGGTTTAGGGTTTAGGGTTTAGGGTTTAGGTTAGGGTTTAGGGTTTAGGGTTTAGGGTTTAGGGTTTAGGGTTTAGGGTTTAGGGTTTAGGGTTTAGGGTTTAGGGTTTAGGGTTTGGGTTTTGGGTTTAGGGTTTAGGGTTTAGGGTTTAGGGCTGAGATCTTCCCATTCAACGGCCGAGTGTGCCAAGAGTGTCCATGATGCCACGGGCTTTTTAGGTCGAACCACAGGATCCCTAAACCCTAAACCCCAACTAAACCTTAAGCCCCAAGCCCCAAGCCCCAAGCCGTAAGCCCTAAACCCTAAACCCTAAACCCTAAACCCTAAACCCTAAACCCTAAACCCTAAACCCTAAACCCTAAACCCTAAACCCTAAACCCTAAACCCTAAACCCTAAACCCTAAACCCTAAACCCTAAACCCTAAACCCTAAACCCTAACCCAAATGCAGCCTGTAGCCTGCTGTCCTTCCAAGCAGGTACTTGGCGTTTGGCGAGCAACCGAACCCTCAAGGCGAGGGGCCCGTTTGGGGTTTGCAAGTGTCAGGGCCCTAAACCCTACACCCTAAACCCTAAACCATAAACCCTAAACCCTAGACCCTAGACCCTAAACCCTAAACCCGAAAGAAAGGTTCATGAGCTGAACGACAAGTACGCCTGCACCGGAAGAACGAAGCTTGGGCCTGACAGAGCCGGTGGGAAGCTTGCGGAGCCTAAACCCTAAACCCTAAACCCTAAACCCTAAACCCTAAACCCTAAACCCTAAACCCTAAACCCTTAGTGGGCGAGTTGCATCCTGAAGTTCCGTCAGTGTATGAAGCCCAGGAACTACCAGCTCTTTGCTGAAGCTGCAGCGAACAGTTCGCTGGATTACGCTCGCTTGGATCCAGGCCCCCCCTGGGATTCGGGAACTGTCGGGTTTTGGAAGTTAGGGTTTAGGGTTTAGGGTTTAGGGGTTTAGGGTTTAGGGTTTAGGGTTACGGGTTTAGGGTTACGGGTTTAGGGTTACGGGTTTAGGGTTTAGGGTTTAGGGTTTAGGGTTTAGGGTTTAGGGGTTGGGGTTTCAGGTTTAGGGCGAAGGGTTAATGATGTTGTAGGGTTTAGGGTTCCGGGATTCCACCGAACAGGCAAGCCCCACACAGAAGCCTCAAGCAACCCCCTGTGGCCTAAACCCTAAATCCTAAACCCTAAACCCTTTTCTTCCGAGCTTCCCATGAGACAGGCTGCTGCTACATGTTCGAGCGCGTCCATCCCGACTTCAGGCCAAACAACAACGACCCCCCCCCCCCCCCCCTCCATGCCCCCATGGGGTTTAGGGTTTAGGTTTGGGGTTTGGGTTTAGGGTTTAGGGATTAGGGTTTAGGGTTTAGGGTTTAGGGTTTAGGGTGATGCTTCGGGGGAGAAGCCTTCAATCCCTCAGGATCAAGCAAGGCTGAAATTCGGGTAGCGGATGCAAAAGTGGCAGGATTGTCCTGGACTACCCCCAAGCGATGCTGTATCACATTGGGACCCGGGACATGCGGACCCTGAAGGAGGTCGATGCACCTTGGCTTGAAGGCCTCTTGGGCACCCCGGAATTTCGAAGCCTGAGGGCTTAGGGCTTAGGTCTTAGGCTGCTCGTCTGTATGAGAGAAGCAAGACAAGTGAAGATAAACCCTAAACCCTAAACCCTAAACCCTAAACCCTAAACCCTAAACCCTAAACCCTAAACCCTAAACCCTAAACCCTAAACCCTAAACCCTAAACCCTAAACCCTAAACCCTAAACCCTAAACCCTAAACCCTAAACCAACCCTAAACAGCGGAGAAAGCTGATGCTGCGAGGTGGACATAGGGGTTCCTCGACCAAAGCGATGGGAAGTGCGAAGCGCGACAGCCTGCCAAGCTTTGCTGGATTCTTTTCATGGGTTCTGCGAAGGGCTTGTTGTGAGCAGCTCAGCTGCACCCCAGGCCCCTAACTCAAATTTACGCCCGAAACTCTAAAGCACACTGACAAGCCGACCGTGAAACCCAGATAATGCACCTCTTTACTCATCTACGACGAGTGGCAGATTCCCGTAAACTAAGTCAGGAGATGCCAAGTTCCGGCGGCAAAAGTGGAAACGACGAGAGCCACACAGCAAGCAAGTCAAGAAAGTGGTGGTTCGTCCTTTCAGGAGGGATGTTCGGCCTTGGGGTGCTGCTCAAGATCGTTTGCCCAGAATGTGAGGCTGAAGTACGTTGGGCGCTTGTGGGTCTTGTTTTGATCTAGGGCGCAAACCCAGAACACGCCTGCGATCTGGAGCTTCAGGTACTTGCTCATGCATTCTGCCCGCTATCTGCTGGGGGATGAGGAGCCATGCTACGCCCCTCTTTCCTACCCCCCCTCCCCCCCAGGTTTAGGGGCTTAGGGTTTAGGGTTTAGGGTTTAGGGTTTAGGGTTTAGGGGTCGTGGGATGAGGAGCCATGCTACGCCTGGGTCGCCCGGAGCAGCGAAGCCGGGAGGATGAACGTGGACCGGTTGTGCCTGAATGTCACCCGGCCAAGGGAAATGCGGGCTTCCGAAACAGGGTTTCGGGTTTAGGGTTTCGGGTTTAGGGTTTAGGGTTTAGGGTCATTTCACGCGTTTTCGGGTTTAGGGTATATATGGGGGGCTTTCTGAAATTAGGGGTACCTTCTTTGGGTCCGTATCCGATGCTGGGATCCTACTATTTGGGGATCCATATTGGGGGCCCCCAGTTTTTGTGAAGGTGAAAGCCGCAGAGTAAATTGATGTTGGAGGGGCTTTCCTTGGACAGATCGTGAAGGGTCGAACCGAAATTCTAAACCCTGAAGCCTTCTCTCGCCAAGACACTTGGCCCGGCCCTGTGGTGAGGTCTGGTTGAGGTCCGAGTCATCTGAATTTGCGGCATACTTCCCGGAGGCAGGACGCGGCTTCGGTTTCAAGAGGTTTCGGGTGTGAGGTTAGAGTTCGAGGTGCGCAGAAAGTGGCGGGGGGGACCTGTTCGTGCTGAGCCTGAGCCTGAGTTCTTGGCGTTCTCCTCAGAACTTCAGCTCAGTGATAGTTCTCCACGAAGTGCGGCTTTTCATTTTTTTAGGGGGTGGGGGGGGGGGGGGGGGGGTGGGTACCACCCCACCCCCCCCCCCGAACGGAAGGGGGGGGGGGGGGTCACCACCTCGTTGCTTTGCAATTGTTTTTTTTCACCATTTTCAATTAACAATATTGACAAAGTGACTAAATAGTGAAATCACTTGTTCCATTTTGTCAAGTGATGTCACTATTTAGTAACTTTTTCAATTTTTTTGTATCTTTAATCGTTGTAATTAATATTTTAATTGCTTTTAATGATCTTGAACTAGTTGGGCCTATTTTTCATTGGATTTCAAGTCCTTTTTAGTGAATTCGAATTATGTTGAAATGAGATTGCGGCGATGTGCGTGGGGGGGGGGGTGGGTGGAGGGGGGTTGGGGGGGGGGGGGGGGGGGTGGGTGGCGCAGGAGAGTGTTGAGGGGGGGGGGGGGGTGGGTGGGTGGTGGGCCGGAACTGTAATTTTCGAAAACGCGCTAAATGGAGAACTCTCTTGGAGCTCAGTGGCATTCGTCTTTGCGGGTGCTTTTGGACTTGGTAGCCCAGTGGTACGCTTTACCCTTTCTTCTGGTTGTGGGTTCCCTTATGAACCAACCCAAAAAAGGCTGCCCCTGATTTCAATATGGTTACTGGGCTACCAAGTAAGTCGAGGGATCTAACCCCTAAACCCTAAAACCTCCCTAACCCCCAAACCCTAAACCCTAAACCCTAAACTGCAAAAAAGAGAGAGATAAAAAAAGAGCCCCTATGAGAGCAGGCTCTGGAGCGCTACCACACGGTCCAGAGGCTGCTGGAAGGACCACGTCGCTGCCAATTTCTTTTGTTTTCGGCTAAACTCCTTGGCAGGGGTTTAGGGTTTAGGATTAGGGGTTTAGGGGTTTAGGGGTTTAGGGGTTTAGGGGTTTAGGGGTTTAGGGGTTTAGGGGTTTAGGGGTTTAGGGGTTTAGGGGTTTAGGGGTTTAGGGGTTTAGGGGTTTAGGGGTTTAGGGGTTTAGGGGTTAGGGGGTTTAGGGGGTTTGGGGGTTTAGGGGTTTAGGGGTTTAGGGGTTTAGGGGTTTAGGGGTTTAGGGTTTAGGGTTTAGGGGTTTAGGGTTAGGGCTTAGGTTTTAGGGGTTTAGGGGTTTAGGGGTTTAGGGGCTTTAGGGCTTTAGGGCTTTAGGGCTTAGGGGTTTAGGTGTTTAGGGGTTTAGGGGTTTAGGGGTTTAGGCTTTAGGGTTTAGGGGGGCTTAGGGGTTTAGGGGTTTAGGGGTTTAGGGGTTTAGGGGTTTAGGGTTTAGGGGTTTAGGGGTTTAGGGGTTTAGGGTTTAGGGGTTTAGGGTTTAGGGTTTCGGGTTCAAGGCCTCTGAGTAGGTGTTGCAACCGGTGCAGCTAGGCCACAGCACAAAGCGCAAGAAGACTTTGTGATGCGCTCTCCCTTGTTTGCATTGACTCGGGTTTAGGGTTTAGGGTTTAGGGTTTAGGGTTTAGGGGTTTTGGGTTTAGGGTTTAGGGGGAAGCTCGATCCCCATTTTCGTCCCTCCGCGAAGCTCAAACGATGAAGACGATAGTGTTGGCATGGGGCTGAAGCTCAGCCAAGACCCTAAGCCTTACAGCCTAAACCCCAGCAAGACACTGAAGACGAAATTGGGTCTCCGAAGAAACAGCTCGGCCCGAAGACGAAGTTCGCCACTACTCAGCGCTTCGGGTTTAGGGTTTAGGGTTTAGGGTTTAGGGTTTAGGGTTTAGGGTTTAGGGTTTAGGGTTTAGGGTTTGCGGTTTGGGGTTTGGGGCTTGGGGTTTAGGGTTCCGAGACCAGGCTACCGAAGAGTCGCCGAAATTGGGCCCGAAGATGTGGCCCTGGAAGACGAATTTAGGCATCGGTTAGGCAAGAGTCCTTAAGAGGGATTATACTGGGGTTTAGGGTTTAGGGTTTAGGGTTTAGGGTTTAGGGTTTAGGGTTTAGGGTTTAGGGTTTAGGGTTTAGGTTGCTAAGAGTCCTTAATCGGGATTATAATGGGGTTTAGGGTTTAGGGTTTAGGATTTGGGGTTTAGGGTTTAGGATGTTAGGGTTTAGGCGGTTTAGGGTTCAAGCGTCAGGTAAGTTCGGCTTCAGTGAATTTGAGTGCCGAAGAAAGGCTTCAGAAGCATTTTTTCCAGAGTTACCTCACACTGCTCGCTAGGAAAGCCTTTAAAAGACCCTCACCACCCTCAGATACCCTACTAAGTCCGAGCAGGAGTTTGCGACGGCCTCGGCGACACCCTTAGGGAGCGGGAACCTGGAAGCGGGCGCTTCCTGCATGAAGCGACGCTTTGGGAACGCCTCCAGGCCGGTCTGTGTCAAGACGCCAAAAGGCGGGTGTTCTTCTAAGTCTGTCTTGGTAAGAGTCAAGAGAGCCTTCATAACAACAGGAACTGGGAGAGTTTACACAGGCGCCCTCCAATATCGGGATGTCACACCTTCACGGAAATCGAGTACTGCGCCACACTTAACCCGGGAGATTCGAGTCCACACAAATGCGTACAAGGAGAAGGATGCCCAAAGATCACAAAGTTGCAGGCAAAAATCACACTTTGTGTGTTGCCAACTAGTATCCTTTCCTACCCGGATCCCGGGTAGTCTAAACCTCGATCCACACGACCGCAGACCCCACCCGCGCCTGTGCCCAGAGGGAGACAGTCCGTCTAGACAAGTACTGGGCCTCCGGCAAGGGGGTGCGTGGTGATGGAGTTCTCGTGGGACGCCGGAGACTCGAGCGGGTGTCGGGGCAGTGCCCTACGGCCCCTAAACCCTAAACCCTAAACACGACCATGCTCTCTGCCGTGGTGCGGGGTGGACGCATCCTGCAACACCGGGCATTTGCCGGTAGCTAGTTGGGCCTAAGAATATGAGTTTTGCTCCGGAACAATCTTTAGGAACATTCTCGATTAATTGCTAAAGAACCCAGGAAAATAAAGATATTCTTCCTTTTTAAATTTAAAAAGGGATCAATATTTTGCATTCTATCTATTCATCATAATTCTAAGTTCTATATTTATATTTCATTTTGGAGAATCTTTATTGCTATATTTTCTCTTTTTTCATTATCGTTTTCTTGCAATAAATGGTGGTGGGGGTGATATTGGATTTTCTATATAATGGAATATTTTGGAAGGAACCCAAGTGACTAGGATGGCAGATGATTGGTCCTCGTATCTCATTTATTTGATTTTTTTGATATATTCGAAATAAATTATGAATGGATTTGATGGGAATTATTTAATATTATTGAAGATGATTTTCTAGCCTCTTGGAAATATTCATATTTCCGAAGGGGAAATTAT